AGTGGCATAAAATAATAATTACTATCAGAACTCTGGAAAAGTACCAGAAGTCTTAGAAAACTGAAGAGCAGAATAAAGAAAGTAATCAAATAATGCTTCTCCAGAAAAAGAAATTTTGACCAAGAGAAAACAGTAAGTAACACAAACTTCGACAGAAGAAATGCAAACAGACAAGATGGAATGTTAAAAAAAAAATGACACAGATATCATTAGTTACACTAAGAGCAATAATTGAGGGAGAGGCGGGGGCAAGAACCTTTAAATACAGCAGAAGCAGAAATCACCCAAAGGAGCTGCTGGACCACTAAATGATGAATTAAAGGAGTGCTAAGAGAAGACAAAGAAATTTAGAGAGAATATGAATTAATTTTTCACATCTGTCTTCACTGCAGAATATATAGGAGATTCATGTGCCTCAACTGATATTTTCTGGAAAGGAGAATGGAAGCTAAGGTAAATAATGGTAACAAAGGTAAAAGGTAAAGGTTCCCCTTGACAATTTGTCCAGCCGTGTCCGACTCTAGGGGGCGGTGCTCATCTCAGTTTCCAACCCTTAGAGCCAGTGTTTGTCCAAAGACAATCTTCCAGGGCCAGCACAACTACATACAGAACGCTGTTACCTTCCCACCGTGGTGGTATCTATTTATCTACTCGCATTTTGCATGTTTTCGAACTGCTGGGTTGACAGGAACTGAGACAAGCGACGGGGGCTCACTCCAATGCGTGGATTCCATCTTACGACTGCAGGTCTTCTGACCTTGCAGCACAGAGGCTTCTGCGGTTTAACCAGCAGCGCCACCACATCCCTATGATGGTAACAAAACAAACAAACCACAACACAAAAACATGATATAGACTAACCAAGATATATTTTAATGTGAATTTCTATGGATCATGTGGACTTTCATGTCTCTCTCTTCTTGTCTAATACGCTTGCACTGACTAACACAGCTGCTTCTTCGAATGGTAAAAAAAACAACAACGAGGTTCCAGCTTTACTAGCAAACTGTAAAGAAGCCACCAGGTCCAGATGGCATTAATTTCAAAAGTTTTTAAAAGATTCTAAGGTGAAAATGCCAATCCTGTAATACCCAATTTGTAATCCCACAATCAACCTCTATACTAGAAAACTTGAAATGGTCAATGTGGCATCCACTTTAAAATAGGGAACAAAGAAATAACATTCTTAACACAATGTTCTGGATAAAGAACAGCCATATAGTACAACACACATTGACAGAAAAAAATATATCAAAGTTTCAGAAAAAGTCTGTTTCCCTATCTTTTAAAATGTTTATGTGTTAACAAATATGTACATAGGGATGACTCACTAGACAAAAGATACTCTGGATTTCCAAAAGGCTTTTAACAAATCCCTCACAGAAGCTAAGCAAATTGATTGATAAGAGATTCTTTCATAGGTCAATAACTGGATAAAGAATACAGGAAGTAGAAATGGACAATTCTTGCAATAGAAGAATGTGGGTCTCTCTAACTTTCTGTATTGTCACCCACTCTCTTTAACTCATCTGTAAAATATAAACTCAGTAGAACAGTGAAGTATGTTTGCTTGCAACACCAAATTATTTACTATGGCCCAAGTCCTGTTGCTTGGCATTGGAAACTGAATTATAGAATCAAAGGGATTTTGGTGAGTCAACTCTGCTGCAAGTCCCACTCATTCAAAACAAGCTTCCTTGTGATTTATTATGCTAAATTAAGTCCGTTAGAGCATGCCCATGGCCACATCTAATGTGACTTACTACATCAGGCAACAGGATTTTGGCCAGGGTTCAAAACAAAAAGGACCCTAATCCTCTACGATGAACATTTCAAACTGCACAACAGCTTTTAAAATAGCAAATGCAGGTAAATGTAATGAAATATAAAGAGTTATGGGTTGGGTGGGAGGTGAATATCCTAAATTATATACAGTGATATATATATGCTCTCTAGATTGAGAAAGTCCAGCTGAAATGCATGTGGGACTTCCTGTTCGTTGATGATGCCCCTGTTGTTGCCCACTCTGCTGAAGACTTCCAACAACACATGAATCGTTTTACCAAGGCCTGCCAAGACTCTGGATTAACAATCAGTCTGAAAATAACACAAGTAATTGGCCAGGGTGTGGACTCGCCTCCCTCTATTACCATCTCCACAAAAAAAATTGGAGGTTGTTCATGATTTTGTGTACCTTGGCTCAACAATTTCTTACACCCTCTCCCTAGATGTCGAGCTGGACAAACGCATTGGCAAAGCACCTACCATGTTCTCTAAACTCACAAAGAGTATGGCCTAATAAGAAGTTGGTGGCATATACCAAGATCCAGGTCTGTAGAGCTTGTGTCCTGAGTACTGTACACTCCTGTACTGCAGTGAGTCCTGAACCCTTTGTGCATAGCAGGAAAGGAAGCTGAAAACCTTCCATATGCATTGGCTCCGACACATTTTTGGTATCACCTGGCAGGACAATGTTCAAAATAGAGTAGTACTAGAACGAGCTGGAATTTTTAGCATGTATACACTGAAACAGCGATGTCTACGGTGGCTTGGGCATGTTGTGAGAATGGCTGATGGTCGGATTCCAAAAGATGTATGGACAATTAGTGCAGGGAAAGCACCCCAGAGGAAGACCACAGCTGTGATACAAGGATATCTGCAAGCGGGATCTGAAGGCCTTAGGAATGGACCTCAACAGATGGGAAACCTTGACATCTGAGCATTCAGCCTGGAGGCAGGCGGTACATCGTGGCCTCTCCCATTTTGAAGAGACCCTTGTCCAGCAGGCCAAGGAAAAGAGGCAGTCCTGGAACCAGAAAAATTAGAGAGCTGGACAGGGGGCAGATTGTATTTGTCTTCAGTGTGGAAAGGATTGTCACTCTTGAATTAGCCGTCTCAGCCACACTAGACGCTGTTCCAAGTCCTCCATACATTACCATAGTCTCTCGAGACTAAAGGATGCTTAATCTAAAATACAGTGACAGGATCTGAACTAGTGGTGAATGACCAAGAAAGGGGCACCCAGGTCAGTAATCAATAATAACACTGCCCTAGTGTGCAATTTTTATAAGTACAACAAACATACGGTAGAGATTCTTATAAATAGAAAGACAAATAAAACCACCAACACCATGCTATATAAATCTAAGATGTCATCACACTTGGAATAACCTGTAGTATTCTCCTCTACAGAAAAATACTGTACAGCTGAAGAAAACACTGAAATGGTCAGTGGGCTACAGAAAGCCCATTATAAGGAAAAGTTACATCTGATTTTTTTTTTGTTAGAAAATAGCAAAGGTGGCAATGAAAGAGGTACAGATGATAGTTGACATAGATAAAGGAGAATTGAGACTTTTTCTCCTCTCATAACACTTATACCCTGGGTCATCCAGTGTGTCTCTGTCTGATTAATACTAACATTTGGATTGATCACACATTACCTGCTAAATCACAATTGTGAACAGAATTGCTTGAGATTCTGTTCACAATTGTGAAACTTGTATCTGTGAAGATTCTCAGTCATCCAGTTGAAGTTATCTCGAAGTTGAGTCATGGCAACTGAACTTCTTTCTTATTATCATTTGATGACTGAAATGTACTCCTTTTGGACCAAGAAGATAGGTGGTTTGAGAGACGGGTCAGGTAGGCCATAGATGTGCATACAGAAAATCCCTCACTCAGCAGAGATGGAGGCTTAGATACAATCCGTCTCCTATTTATCATGCTGCCCTTTCATCTATCCTCAGAAGGATCAGAACCATACACCAGAAAGACCACTGTTAAGGATTGTTAACTACCCATGACAATGGGTGGAGAAGTACTGCAGAGGTGGATTTTTCAGTCACCCCCAGTCCTTTGTCCATCTATTCAGACCAGGGGGAAGTGAAACCAACCTGAAGGGTATATATCAGGGGTCTCCCACCAACTCTCCTTGGACTGAAGAAAAAGCTAATTGGATAAGTAGCCTAACGTTTCAACCTAATAAGAAGTCCAGTTACCATGCCTCAACTTCCAGATAGTGAGACTTATTTCCAAAAAAAAATGTGTAGGGTTGTTGATCGAAATTAATTGCAAGGACACCGCTAAATGAGTGTGCACATACAGATGGCTGAAAAATATATATTCAGACAAAGCAGAATCCGAAGTTGGCAACTGCAACAGTAGGCGACTGTTTGTTTCCAGTAAAAATCAGTGAGATCCCAGGAACATTTCAAGCTTATGGGAAAATAACCATGTTATGCACAAAACCAGAACTACTTCCTTCTCCCACTTTTAAGTAAACATCCTACGTAATATAAACGAAATGGAATCCATCTTCCGTTGTTTCGTTTTCAGAATGAAAGCGCTCTAACATTCCCTACAACTCCCATCTCCAAAACTCTACTGAAAAAGAGGGACGGGCAGCGAAATGTCCCCCGTCCCGCCCCACATGACTAACCCAGCTTTCCTCAATACATAATTCACTCTTTTAAGTTTCCTCCCCTGGCTGGAGATGGTGAGCCAGGGCTCGGCTCCCAGCCCTCCTTCGGCAGAGCCTTTCAAAAGGCTGGGAAGGCAGCCAGACCGTTCCCTCCCTCTCGACTCTGAAGAGGGGCTCAGATCCGCTCTCTTACTCTTCCCGCCGCCCACCCCGGAGTTGAGAGGAGGGGGAAACAGACGCCCAAACCAGGGCGTGGCGCCCGTGCACTTCGGACCTAAGCCCCGGCACCAATCTCGGTAGCCTCAGGGGCCGCCAGCCGAGGCGCGCCCCAGAGGATGTCAAGAAGGCCCGAGACGTTTCCGCACCAAAAGGCACAAGCGGCCGACTGGGCCTCAGACTTTGCGCTTCTCTGTTGGCGGGAGGAGGAAACTTTCCCCTCACACCGCCCTGAGCCCCCCCCCCAAAGTAGGGAAGGCCTGGTCCAGCCCATTCTGGCTTCACCGGCCTGTTCCCCCCCCTTGGAATCCGATTTTTCGCCTTCCTGTCCACAAGGTTTCTAAGCCTGCGAGATGCTCACCGGGGCAGGACCGGACTCTCGAACCGAAGGCGCTCTCTTTCTTTCACGTCTCCGCGATGCCTCGGAGGGAGAAGTACTAACCACAAACAGCGGGAGGAGAGGCTTCCGCGCCTGCGCCGCCTTCAGGGGCCCCTCGTGACGGCCAACGAAACGCCTGGAGGAGGAGGAGGTGGGGAGGAGGGAGGGGGGGAAGGCTCACGAAATGAGGCAGGTGAGCGGCGGGGTTAAACAGGCCCCCTTGACGAGACCCAATCCAAAACGAGCAAATCGAGCCTCGTCTGGCGTTGCTGGATTATAAATCCCCTCAACCCTGGGAAGACCATGGTGAGGCATGATGGGAGCTGTAGTCCTGCTATCTCTGAGTAGCCCACCCGCTGTACGGTTGGAAACGGGAAGGCTTTTGCCTCAACCGTTTTATCACGTAATGTAACCTTTTCAGGCTAATAAAGTTGTTTCCGTGTGAGCTCTT